CAGGAACAGGCATGCGATTTAGGCCTAAGCCACTAGCATACCTCACCCTCCAGGGCAGGCCATGACCAGGGGGTCAGGGACAGACACTGGGGCAGGTGGAACTAATCAGAGCTCCTCCCAGGCTTCTGCTGGGAGACCAGGAAGAGACAAGTGCTATCTCCTGCTGCTACACTTGAACCCAAGAGGATTGAGGCCAGGGCTGCAGCAGCCATTGGTCTCCATGTGAGGCAGAGGCAGAGCCAGGCCACAAAGGGAGTTTGAGGCCTGGTGGCATTCCCTGAGCACCAGATTGTCATACCTGAAGTTCCATCTACCTCCAGACAGACTGGTTCTGTGAGCTCATATTCCTGAAGTCAGTTTATTTTAAAATTTGCAACTGACTGATCCAATGGTATTCCCTGATGCCACCTCCTCCAAGAAGCCTTCTTTGGTCACACCCCCCCTACCACCACATTTCCACCACCCTTTGTGCCGCCGCTCTTGGGTCGACCCTCCTCCCTTTCTGCTTTGTTTGGCCTGGTTCTGCAGTGATTTGTGTCTGGCCTCATTTGGCTCCCATATGACTCCCACCACACCATCTTAGTGTCGTGCACATAGCACCGGGCACTGAGCCTCATGCCTGGAAAGTACTCAGTAACATGTCGGTGTCTGGCCGCCCTTTCTCCACTGGCATCAGGGCAGAACCGCTGGCTCAAGGCCTGGCGCCTCATGTGAACTCTGCCCAGAGCAGCCGTGTGTGGTGTGCAGGGAGGGCCGGTGCGTACCAATGGCCTCCAGGACGAGTGTGTACGCGGCCGTGGTCTCCCGGTCCAGGTTCACCACTGTTCTCACAACGGCATCGCGGTAGCCAACGCTGAACTTCCCATCCACGTTTCCACCTGTGGGCAAAAGAGAACGAAGCTTCGGCTAGGAAGCGGGACTCCTGGCTAGGGAAAGGGAGGGGGCACCCCACCTCTGCTTCTGAGCCCCGACACTAGAGGTGGTCCAGGGATGAAAGGCTGTGCTGCCCACTCGGCGCTGCCTGCGAAGAGGGTTCTGGGGGGCCCTGATGAGGGTGTGGCCTGAGTGGGCTTAGGCGGGGGTGCAAATGCCTGAAATCACAAGGGTCTACCTGACATTCGTTGAGCACCTACTGTGGGCCATTCTGTTTCATGTGCACGATCACTGTCTCCATGTCACAGACAAGGACACGCTCCTTTAATGAGGTTATGTGCGGTGCTCTGGGTGAGTCACCTATTTGGGCGTAGGACTCCAGTCCAGCCGTTTGCTCCCCAGCCCGTGTCCTTCACCATTCGGTTACCTGCCTGTCCCATAGGTGTCTGAGCAGTTAAGCTGGGCTGGGGCTTATTTTTTTTTTTTAATATATTTATTGATCTTTTACAGAGAGGAAGGGAGAGGAATAGAGAGTTAGAAACATCGATGAGAGAGAAACATCGATCAGCTGCCTCCTGCACACCCCCTACTGGGGATGTGCCTGCAACCAAGGTACATGCCCTTG